GGAATGCTTCCTGGCAGTGCTCTAGGGAATCATACATGATACCCATACCCAGCATCAAACCAGGGTCAGCTGCATGCAAGACAAGAGCCTTAACCCCTATATTATATATCTCTGGCCCCAAGAACCTTTTATTTCTGTCATATCATTCTTGTCAGACTCAAGTCTGAGGACTCCAGCGTAACAAGGGCCTAAAAAATCAAGAGAAATGCACTGGCAAGCTGAGGACAAGAAGATGTGATGAAATTCATACGTTTGAAGTGACTGCGATTGGGGAGGGCGGGCGGTTGCTTTGGGTTTTGTAATTGCGGTGCCCAGGGCTGTACCCATGCAGAGAAAGAACTCTACCCCTGAGTCACGTGTCTGGCTCTGAAATTTGACCAGAACATAAATAAAGCTGGGCTTTTTCAGCCATTTTTACACTGTAGGCCAAATTCAGATGCCTACTACATGGCAAAGAGTGGAGAAAAAGTGTGAGAAGCCATGCATGGTACCCGGAGAATTCTCTCTCTCTTTTTTTAAGCAGGAGAGAAGCATGTTGGGATGGAGGCCTTGGGAAGCTCTCTGAAGAGCAGCAGTGAGCAGATAGGACACAGCAGACAAAACAAAAGCCAGGGCAGAGACAAGCAGTAAAGGTATGTGTCGGCTGCAAGGTTTAAACAGGCCTGTAGCACGCTGAATAACCTCGAGAACCACTGAAGGACACACCTCAGTGTCACAGCACGCATTTTTTTTCTAGAGCTCGTTATTTCACAAGGTCTTTGTTAGACATCCCTTTAAAAGGTTCACTTAAAATACTTTCTATATGCCTTCTAGGAACTGTGAATTTGTGACAGGCCAAGGTAAACCTGCTATACCTTCATTTCTTTTATTTTGGTAAGGCTTAGGGGATATACCCCACCCCAAGGAAACAGAGGCTGGAGAGATCAGACAGCTGGTCGGACGCTGGCCTGTGGCACCCCTGGTTAATACTCAAGACTGGGCTCTTACACAGCAATGACAATGTAGCTTTTTCTTTTTTTCTTCCTTTTTTTCAGTTTTTGGGTCACATCCAGCAATGCTCTTTTCCTTGGCTCTGTACTCAGAAATCATTCCTGGTGGTGCTCCAGGGGTCATATGGGATGCCGGGATTCGAACCCATGTTGGGTGCTTGCAAAGCGAAGACCTAACTTGCTGTACTACTGCTCAGCCCTGGACAAACAAGAAGCCCTATATAGCTTTTCTAGAGATAAAATTACACGCTTCGAGAACTAGAGTTAGGAGCAGCTTTGGTGCTAGTCCAGTCTACAATAAATTAACAAATCTGGAGTCTTCTAGAAAAGAACAAGAATTCTTAAGTACCTCAAATATCTGACTTACTTCCTAACACCAAAAATGAGCTAAGGCCTGGAGTCGGAGAAACTGTACAGGGGTTAAGATTAATATTAGAATCACTTGTTCCGCAACCCGCCAATCCAGGTTCAATCCCTGGCACCCCATCTGGTCCCCGGGGCCCCATTAGGAGGGATCGCTGAACACAGAGTCAGGAGCAAGCCCTGAGCACCAAGCGGGTGTGGCCCCAAAATAAACAAAAAACAAGTCTTTTTCACCATATTATTTATTTCTTAGTTAAGTGAATACTGGCTAGAAGGCACACAAGTAAATCCTTGTTAGGAAACAGTAAAATGACACCACTAAGGAAAACAGGGGCTTGGGGAGCTGGATGGACCCCCTACAGGCAGGATGGACCCCCCACCCCCACCCCATCACCATCCAGCCCCTTAGCACCACCAGGAGCAGCTCCTGAGCCCAGCCAGCTGTGATCCCGAAAACCAAGCAAACAAAAAAAGCAGGCAACTGATAAGAAAAATTGTAGTCACTGTCCTCCCGTTGTTCATCGATTTGTGCGAGCGGGCCCAGTAACGTCTCCATTGGAGACTTTGTTGTTACTGTGTTTGACATATTGAATACATCACGGGTAGCTTGCCAGGCTCTCCAAGAGGAGTGGAGGAATCGAACTCGGTTGGCCATGTTGGCTGCGTGCAAGGCAAATGCCCTACCCGCTGTGCTATCGCTCCCCTTGCAGAGAAAAAGGTGCATCATATAGCTGCTTTTACCGAATCAAACAAAATAACAATGCTCACTGGAACCCGGAGAAAAGGCTGCCTCACAATTGCTTTAGAAATGAGCGTGCAGGGTTGGAGCGATAGCACAGCAGGTAAGCCTTGCATGCAGACAACTTGGGTTCGTTTCCCAGCATCCCATATGGTCCCCCGAGCACCGCCAGGAGTAATTCCCAAGTGCAGAGCCAGCAAAAGAAATGAGCGTGCTCTCATTCAGTGTTAGGGCTGTAACCGCACAGGTGTGCTCAGAAGCTCAGATGATAGAAGTACAAGTGATGACAGGGGAAGATGCTGTCAGGCCCCGAGTGACAGAACAGCATTCAGGATGCTTCCCTTGCACAAGGCTGACCTGGATTCAATTCCCAGCACCCGCATGATGCCCTGAGCCCCACCAGTAGTGATCTGCACACCACAAAGAGTGGCCCAAAAACCAAAGAGAAGGAAGATGCTATCAGAACAAGGAGTACCTGTGATCCAAACATCTGAATTTTCAGACCGTAGTTGGGGATTTTTTTTAATTATAAAATTATAGTAAAAACCGACTAAATCTGAAAACTAGTCCTATGTGCTATCAATTTTTGCCTTTGATGAAATTCTGCAGTTCAAAAAACAGGGCACAAAAATTAAGATAAAAATTTAGGATTCTGGGGCTGGAGCAATAGTACAGAGGGTAGGGCGTCTGCCTTGCATGCAGCTGACATGGGTCCGATCCCCGACATCCCATATGGTCCCCCAAGCAACACCAGGAGTGATTCCTGAGTGCAGCACCAGGAGGATCTCTTGAGCATTGCCAGGTGTGACCCAAAAAGCCAAAAAAAAAAGAATAAATTTTAAGACAGTTCACGTGGCAATAAAAGACTCATCCAAACACAGCTCTTAACAAATCTATTCAGTGGTTTGTATTTGCCACTTCACAGAAACTCCTAAGATTTAATCAAAACATAAATCTAATGGGGCTGGAGTGATAGCACAGCGGGTAGGGCGTTTGCCTTGCACGCGGCCGACCCGGGTTCGATCCCCAGCATCCCATATGGTCCCCTGAGCACCACCAGGAGTCATTCCTGAGTATATGAGCCAGGAGTAACCCCTGAGCATGGCCGGGTGTGACCCAAAAAGCAAAAAAAAAAAAAACCCGATAAATCTAAAAGGAAAAAACCATAGCTCAAAAAAGTACAAATCAGTGTCATTCTCCCCAAACCAGTCTCCATCACCCAGTAACTAAAACTGCTCCTTTATTCGTTCCTCTGACACCCCTCCCTCCCCGCCCCCAATGAATCTTGGGAAAGAAAACGAGAAAGATAGCACCAGCACAACAAGAATAGAACCGTCTGAAATTTAGTCTAAATATTTTTAGAATTAAAGCAAGGATATGTGAGAAGAGAAAAAAAAAAGTGACGGTCTACAAAGACAATCACAACACTTCCCCACCTCTCTGGGAGATTATCTCCAAATCGAGCTGTTATTTCTTGCATTTGTTTAATGCCATCTGTTATTTTCCAGGCAGCACCCCCATACTGTACCCCTTTGCTTTTGGGGGGGGGGACATCCTGCTGTCCTGACATGGACAGGGAAAATTGCTCCTGTGAAATCAGTCCCCTTCATGGGTCCTGACAATATCACAAAACCTTCTGGGACAGGAAGCCCACAAAGGTGGGAAGAATTCAAGGAGGGGGTGAAATACACAAGACGGCACCTTTGCTCTGGGTGTTTCTCAGGCCCTGGTGCGTGTGGATTACAAGGGTATATGCGGCACATTCATCTTGCAAAGTAAGATCTAATTACAGTCACCAGGCACTGGTCTAGCTTTTAAATGGATCACGAGGAAGAATTGCCCTGTACTTCTCAACAGCTAGCCCTCTCGCACTTCCAAGCATCCTCTTCACAAAAGAGGGACGCGACAGATTGAATTTAAATTCAGCCTGAAACTCCCAGGACAAGTCCACCCACCCCAGCCATGCAAAAAACAAACAAAAAAACAAAAAACACGCAAACATCTATAAAAGTGTGTGTCAGCTGCATGTGAAATATATCTTTTTTGTCTTTCCCGCCTCCTTTCTCCCCTCCTGCATGTGAAATATATAGAAACATCAAAGCAACTCAACGAAACCCTGCATTTTTTTCTTTTTTTCTTTTTATTTTTTTTTTTAAAAAAGACCTCATCGTATGGTTAAGAGAAAATGGAGAAGTAAAAGGTTACCTTTGTGCCAGAAATCAAGGTGATTCCTACTTGCAGCCTGCATTCTCTAACTTGGGCAGTCAAGGCGCGGGGGAGCTAACTAGACGCGGCGCTTTGAGCCTGGAAGTCACCCACACGGTGGCTCCGAGACGGGGGTCCCCCAGGGGCAAACCCCCCTGGGGCCCGCGCCCCGCGGCGGCGTCGGCGGCGCCCAGCCCGGCACTGGGCACCGCGCGGGCACTGAACTCTTCATGCAAACTTGGGCAAGTGCTGCCGCCGCCGCCGGACTCCCGCGTCCCCCGGAGATGCCATCCCGAGCCCCTCCGGGTCCCGAGGACCCCAGGCCAGACCCGCACCACCCCCCCGCCCACCGCACACCCCCCTGCTCGGGGTGGGGGGCTCCCGATCACTCCAGCCCTGCTCCCGTCCGGCTCGATCACCTCCACTCGGGGGCACCCACGGCGCCCCCGTCCCCCACCTGCTCGGACGCCGCCCGGAGCCCCCCGGGGTGCAGGGGGGAGTCACTGCGCCCCCGGTGCCCGCGACCTTGGACCCGAGCCTCGGGGGCGCCTCCCTCCCCATCCCCCCGCCGGACCCTGCAGCACACAGTTCTTGGCCAAAGTGCCCAACTCCGCACGGGCCGGCCCCGGGCCCCCGAGCAACCCCCGGACCCCCGGGCCCCGGACCCCCGACCCCGGCCGGGACCCCCGCCGCGCGCGCGCTACCTGGCAGTGGCTGTCCGGGGGCAGGTTCTTCACCAGGATCTTCCTGCGGTTGCTCAGCTCGCGGCGCATCCGCTGCAGGCGCGCGGCCACCTCGTCGGCGGGCAGCGCGTCCCCGCCCGCGCCCCCCGCGCCCCCCGCGCCCCCCGCGCCCGCCGCCGCCATCTTCCCGCTGGAGCAGGCCCGCGGGGCCGGGCCAGGCGGGCGGGCAGAGGCCGCGGAGGGGCCCGCCGGGAGGCCGGACGCAGGCGGGGGCGGCGCCGGCGGGCGGGAGAGGAAACCTGAGCGCGAGGAGGAGCCGGGGCCGCGCCGCCGCCTGCACTGCGGACCGACCCCGGCCCGCCGCGCGCCCCCGGCCCCAGCCTCCGCCCCACCCCCCAGTCCCCGGGCCCCAGTTCCCGGGCCCCCAGTCTCCGCCCCCCGCGTCCCCGGGCCCCCAGTCCCCGGGCCCCCGAGCCCCTGGGCCGCCCCAAGTCCCCTGACCCCCCCAAGTCTCCCGGGCTCCCCAAGTCCCCGGTTTCCCCAAGTCTCCGGGACCCCAAGTCTCCCGGGCTCCCCCCAAGTCCCTGGGCCCCCCAAGTCTCCCAGGCTCCCCCAAGTCTCCAGACCCACCAAGTCTCCTGGGCTCCCCCCACCCCGAGTCCCCGGGCTCCCCAAGTCCCGAAGCCCCCCAAATCTCCAGTCTCCTGGGCTCCCCAAGTCCCCGGTTTCCCCAAGTGTCCGGGACCCCAAGTCTCCCGGGCTTCCCCCCAAGTCCCTGGGCCCCCCAGGTCTCCCGGGCCCCCCGTTCCCTGGGCCCCCCAACTCTCCCAGGCTCCCCCAAGTCTCCAGACCCACCAAGTCTCCTGGACTCCCCCCATCCCGAGTCCCCGGGCTCCCCAAGTCCCGAAGCCCCCCAAATCTCCAGTCTCCTGGGCTCCCCAAGTCCCCGGTTTCCCCAAGTCTCCAGGACCCCAAGTCTCCCGGGCTTCCCCCAAGTCCCTGGGCCCCCCAACTCTCCCAGGCTCCCCCAAGTCTCCAGACCCACCAAGTCTCCTGGGCTCCCCCCAACCCGAGTCCCCGGGCTTCCCCCCCACCCTGTGCCCGGGCTCCCCAATTCCCGGAGCCCCCCAAGTCCCCGGGCCCCCCAAGTCTCCCGGGATCCCCAAGTCCCTGGCTCCCCCAAGTCCCAGGACCCTGCAAGTTTCCCGGGCCCCCAAGTCCCCGGGCTCCCTTCAGCCTCCCAGGGTCCCCCAACCCCCCTAACCCCCCAAATCTTCCAGGCTCCCTCCAGGTCTCCCAGGCTCTCCCCAAGTCTCCCGGGCTCCCCCAAGTCCCTGGGGCCCCCAAGTGTCCTGGACTCACCGCAAGTCTCTTGCCCCCCCCCCCCCCCAGTCTCCCGGGCTCCTCCCAAGTCCCCAGGACTACCGGGATTTCCCCAATTTCCTGGACCACCAAGTCTCCCAGGCTATCCCCAACCTCCTGGGCTCCCCCAACCTCCCAGACTCCCCCAAGTCTTCCGCCGCCCCCCCACACCAAGTCTCCCAGGCTGCCCTGCAGACTCCAGGTCACCCGTTTTCCCGCCCCACTGGGCACCAGATGTGTTGCTTTGGTCACCAAGTTTGAGTGGACTGTGAGGATGGCAAGTTGAGATAGAAACAGGGAGTCCCAGAAGGGAGAGATGCGGGTGTTGGGGGGGAGGGGTAGGAAAACCCCCCAGATGGCGAGGACGACAAGCCTGCTAGCAGGGAAGGTTTCCAGTGGCGTCCCTGCCTGCCCTCTGTCCCCAACGCCAGGCTGACAGCACACCTGGGCAATGACAGGTGCGGTGGGGCAGGTCCCAGCAGAGACTGGAGCCGGGAGTGAGCTGGGCGGGCGCCGGTGTCAGCAGGACCTGGACAGGGACCGCTGGACAGTCGGTCAGTGCCCAGCACCACAGGCGGCCCAGTGGCCCACAGCCAAGAGGACGGGGTGGGTGAAGTGGGCAGCGGGCTCAGTCTTTAACACCCACCCCGTCCCATTAGGGAACACTTAAGGAACGACCTTTAAAACAGAACAAAACATGTTGTGCTTACGCTGTGTGGACGCCCCACCCCCATCGATTTCTAAAAGGATCTTACACACATTTCAATTTTCACAATCTAATTTGTGGAAATTTGGTGGAATCCAATTTGGCGGAAATCCACCTGCCTCGCACCAACAGAGAGAGAGAGAGAGAGAGAGAGAGAGACTCCTTGCTCAATTCCAAGTCCGGTGGTCTTAACAATATGGAAAAAATCATCTAAGGGGGATGGAGTGATAGGACAGCGAGTAAGACTGGTCCTGTTCAACCCTCAGCACCCTGAAGTCCCAGCCAGGATTGAACCCGAATGCAGAACCAGGACTAAGCCCTGAGCATTCCATGATTTACCCAACAAAACCAAAGTGGAGGGGGTGGGGGGACAAAGGGGAAGGATCATCTAATAATTCTCTGTCAATAACACTTTCTTCATTAAAGAGATTCCTGGGCCAGGGATGTGGCTTAGTGGTAAAATGTGTCCTGAGGCCCCAGGCTGGCTTTTCAGCGCTGCAGGAAGTTAATTAATTCTGTAGTACACCCGTCTTCTGCAACAGCCCTGCTCCCAAGAGGCGGCAATCAACCCAAAGGTCCATCTCCCACTGAGTAGATAAAGTGCTGTGTATACCTTTAATGGGATATTATCTACCATAAAAAACATACCTGAGCCCTGGTTCGATTCCCAGCATCTCCTGGTTTCCCCAACCACTGCTGGACACACCCAGAGAAGGCAGAGTGTGATCCAAAGTCAACAAAAATAGAAACTGATTTATCCTGATGCTCACTTGATCACTTCAATTTTTTTTTCTTTTTGGGTCACACCCTGGGATGCACAGGGGTTACTCCTGGCTCTGCACTCAGGAATTACTCCTGGAGGTGCTTGGGGGGAATATATGGGGTGCTGGGAATCGAACCCGGGTTGGCTGAGTGCAAGCCCAATCCCCCATCCACTGTACTATCACTTCGGCCTCTTCTTCAATTTTTAAAAGATCATCAAGAGTATGGAGCAGAGAGATAGCAGAGGGGCTAAGGCACTTGCCTTACACTCAGCTGACCCATTTGATGCCCAGCGCTGCCTATGGTTCCCTAAGCATTGCCTGGAGTGATCTCTGAGTACCCAATCTTGTATAATCCATGAGCATAGCCAAGTGTGTTCCCCCCACCCCCCCCAAATTAAAGAAATTAAAATAACATACAATAGTAACAAAGAGCAGCAACCAAACGGAGATATGCATTCAGACCAAAACTGCATTTTGAAAGATCCTGGGGTTGATCGCTGTAAAAATGGTTCATTATGTCGTGGATTTCAGCTGATGAAAAAACTTTAATGATTTTCGGCAGGCCACAGGCTTTTCAGAACCTCTGTGTCATTATAATTGAACATAATTGTTTCTCATGATGGCATTTACTTTATTGTGAGAATTACCATTGTTAAAATAAAAAAACAAAGAAACTAGCCTTTTCAATTCTTTGGGCGGCCAAAACCAGTTGAGTCAGACAAGCAAAACTTAATTATTTTTTTTTTTGTCACACCCGGCGATGCTCAGGGGTTACTCCTGGCTCTTCATTCAGGAATCACTCCTGGTGGTGCTCAGGGGACCACATGGGATGCTGGGAATCGAACCCGGGTTGGCCCCGTGCAAAGCAAACGCCCTACCCCCGCTGTGCTATCACTTCAGCCCAAGCAAAACTTAATTTAACTTGTTTTGCAAACCTGGATCATTTTTTTTTTTTTTGCTTTTTGGGTCACACCTGGTGATGCACAGGGGTTACTCCTGGCGGTGCTCAGGGGACCATATGGGATGCTGGGAATCGAACCCAGGTTGGCCGCGTGCAAGGCAAACGCCCTACCCGCTGTGCTATCTCTCCAGCCCCAAGGACCTGGATCATTTCTGGTTTATGCCTCTGAAGCGAAGCAACCTGCTTCCCAAGATTTTAAATTAATTTTATTTATTTGTTTATTTATTTATTTATTTATTTATTTTTGGCTCTCCGGGTCACACCCAGCGATGCTCAGGGGTTACTCCTGGCTCTGCATTCAAGAGTTATTCCTGGTGGTGCTCGTGAGACCATATGGGATGCCAAGGATTGAGCCCTGGTAGGCCACATGTAAGGCAAACGTCCTGCCCTTTGTACTCTGACCCTTTATTGAAGAAAATTCTAATATTACACCAATTCCAATCACTATGAAGTAGTCATGAGATTCTCGCTACAAAGGCGCTGTGTAATTTCCCCCAGCCAGACCTCCCTGAGTCTCTCAGTTTGCACACGCATCTGTGTGTGCACAGAAAGCTTTTACTAATTACATTGTCAGTAGTTCACCTGTCATACTTTGGCTTTGTTTTTTATTTTCTATTGTAAACAGCACTGAGTTTCATAATCTCGCATTCATATTTATAGAATCGTAATTGTTCCCTATAATAATGAACTGGAAGCAAAATCTCCCCACCAAATATATATATATATTTAAAGTTTTTCATTTTTATTTTTAGACCACAGTCAGTGGTGCTCAGGGATTACTCCTGGTTCTGGACTCTGATGTCTCTCCTTGCAGTGCTCAGGGGACCATATGTAGTGGCAGGGATTAAACTGGAGTTAACTGCATCCAAGGCAAAGGCTTTAACCCTGTGCAGTCTCTCTTGCCCCTATATAAAGATTTTTTTTAAATATGTGTCTAAACTAATTTCTTTAGTTTTCTCCAATCACTACACTTGATCTTAGCCAAAAGGCCGAGCGATAGCACAGCAGTAGGGCATTTGCCTTGCACGCAGCCAACATGGCCGACCCGAGTTCGATTCCTCCGCCCCTCTCGGAGAGCCCGGCAAGCTACCGAGAGTATCTCGCCCGCAAGGCAGAGCCTGGCAAGCTCCCCGTGACGTATTCGATATGCCAGACACAGTAACAACAAAGTCTCCAATGGAGACGTTACTGGGCCTGCTCGAGCAAATCGATGATCAACGGGAGGGCCTTTACCTTTACCTTTTCTCCAATCACAAACACTGTATGAGAGTGCTTGTATTCTTAATCATTTGATACCTAAAGAGTATACCTCTATTTTATTTATTTGGTTTTGGAGTCCCACCCAGCAGGCTCCTGGCTCTGTGCTCAGGGACCAGTCCTGGCTGAGCGAGGGAGCACCATAAGG